CTGGGGTGGCCCATAGAGATGGGGTAGGTAGCTTTCGTTCCAGGGGAGAGGCGCCGGGGCCCAGATTACGTCGTACTTTGGGGGTTGGTGGGTTAGCGGGGTTGGTATGTTTTCAGCGGGTTGCTCCTGGGACGGCATCGCATCGCTTTCTCCGTGGCATACTCTCGGTATGCCTCAGAACAACAAGTGGCGATGAGATAGGGGTACAGGAATAACGCCCTACCATATCACACCCCAGACGGGCACTTGCCATGGCCGAAAAGTATGGCGCGCCCGTGTAGTCCTCACTGCCGCCGATGACGCCAACTCGCCCCAGCTGTCCTGTCCACGCGCGATCATTATTAGTCTCTGCCATACCGGGTGCTCTGTCATTCAACAGCGAACCACTTACCCTTGTGAAACTTCTCCAGCATAGGCGGGATCATTTGCCGCACACGGGCAATGATGTCCTTGGTAGCAGGCGACATGTTGGGCAGCGCAGTGGACGCAGACGAGTCGGGGGGCATTTCAACCCGTGTAGGTTATTTATGGGAAAAGAGTTGAGCGAGTTCAAGATGATGCTAGCTAACCGGCTGACTGGCTAACTGCTAAAAAAAAAAAAATGAAGGTCAGTTACCGACTTGCACTGTTTAGGAAGCGGGTGTTGGCAAAGCCAAAGGGACACAAACGGAAACAGAATGAACATACAGTACCGTCAGCAGAAACGGACGAGTTTAGTGACCGAGGGTGGCTCGTTAACAAACGTCTTGCACTTAGGAAAGAGACATGAGTCAATATTGGTCGAGTGAAAATGAACCGAGAGAGTCGATTGGCATGAACCTGGAATGTTGATTGGTGTTGTTCCTGGATGCAGTTCGGGTTTCGGCGTGCTCATGATGTCACTGCTTGGCCGCACACCACCCCTGCACCGACTTCGGCCAAAGTTGGGGCTCTGTATCTTTTAGACCATCCAACAAAAATAAGAAAAAAAGGAGAAAAAGGGAGAAAAAATGAAGAAAAAAGGAAGATGAAAAGAAGAAGAAAATAAAGTGGAGAAAAAGAGGTCGAATATTGAAATAGTAGGTAAGGACCAGCCAGGCAAAGTTCCTAACACCACGAGACGCTGCTCTTGCATACCGTCCCAAGGCCAACCCGCTCCCGCCGTGCCGCCTTTGCGTACGATCGGACCTGGACGGCTCTTTCAACTGATAAAGCTAGCCGGGGCGGGAAAACAACGATGAACCTTCAGCCGGGAGACCACACCGACCCGCGCCTCCCCCCGGCTTGTGGCGTACCGATGAGGATGAGATTGAGCACGACATCAAACACTTCGGTTCGCATGCAGCCTTCAACATGTGCATGCGTAAAGAGTATGTATGAACAAGGACCTTGCCAACTTCGCCCTTGTAATCCCATTCCAAGGTATCCGCTAAAGCCTCCTGAACCCTCTAGTACACATGCGAAAGAAAAGACGGAAAAAGCCAGCCGCCTTTCTAGGCATACAGCTGATCATGGATCACACGCATCTTGGCGCACACGTCCTGTAAGCGCTTAAACTGGGCCAGATCCTCCTGGCAATAGACCTGCATCGAGTCCTCCCACAGCAATTTCTCGACATCTCGGCCAAGGGTATCGATGACCCAACCAATATGTCCCCACATCCGTACATACCTGCCCGCTTCGTCTGTCTTGACGAGGCTCCATTTCTCGTCGAGAATGCGTGTGAAGTCAGGTTTGACACCGCTGTGGTGGAAGAACATGGAGTGGCCGTGGTATTCTAGCTTCAGGTCCCCAAGGGTGTCAAGGAAGGTCGAGTTGGTCAGGAAGTCCTCGATAACGATAGCCTCTGCCTCGTCTCGCTTGCTGACCTTGTTGATGGCGGCCATAACGGCACGGTAATCCTCCATAGGGTCCATCTGCAAGAGGAACATACCCGTCCACTTGCCCCTGGCCGACCGCCCATGCACAACCGGGGGCTTCTTTACATCATAATACCCCTTTTTAACCCCAACCCCAGCCCCCGATCTCATCCACGCCGTTGGCTGCTGATACACCCCCTTCTGTCGCAGCGCTTCCAGCACCAGTGCAGCCTGGAGAAAGGTCTCCTTGTCACCCTCCCCCGCACCGTGCTGGCTGAGTAGGGGATAGTAGTGCTTGGGCCCGTTATAGTTGTAGTAGGCGGCAAGGAGGAGGGTGTCGGCGTGGCGGGCCTTGTCGTACACGAGTATCCCGCTCTCCGAGGTGGCACGCGAGGTGATGGGCGGGATGTCGATATCGCCGGCAACCTTGTAGAATAGGGGGGAAGCGGTCGAGGTCCAGAAGTCAGGCCAGGTGATGAGGCCGGCCGAGGTGAATGGCTCGGACCCCTGGTGGAAAATCGTGTCTGGGTTGAGAATGGGGAGGCAGTCGGCGTCGAGGAAGAGAACGTTTTGGAAAGACGAGACAAGGATCGAGAGAACCTTCCATTGGAAACGTTCGAACGTCGGCACGGATATACCAACCCATTTATCTTGCATGAACAGGCAGGTCGCATTGTATTAAGGCAATGTCTTGGAGCATATTAAATCTACCCATGGTGCAGTTGAGTCGAGGTAGATTTGTATCGGTAACCGCGAGCCAGCTCGGCGTGTCGTCAGCAGCAGCGAGATGACCTGCCCGAAGTTGGTCACGCCAGCCGTGGTCACGATGCCCGTGGTATTGGCGCCGTATGGAAGATGGCTGGCGAACTGGGCCAGCTGGTCGACAAACGCGGTATGCGATTCCCGGTACCTGGCTTCGTCATCGCTGCGCAGCTTGACCAAGTCTGGGCGCGTGGCGTGGGTATTAGGCTTCCAGTTGATGGCAGGATCCCAGTCTTTTATCTTTATCCTGGGGGCCGTTATGCGCGTACTTTCGAGCCGAGCGAAAAACTCTACCCACCAGCCGTTGGGCGGCGCATGGCAGCCGAGGTGGCGGCCCGGGGCGCGCGCCGGGAGGTAGAAGTCGTCATAAAAGCACAAGCGGTAGACGAGGTAGGCAGACGTGAACAGGAGAAGACAGCAACGGAAAATCTCGCCTTACCGACGCGGAGGATGACTCGGCGCGGACGCAGGGTGAAGTGGCGGAGGAATGCCACACCCCCCCCCTGGACTGTCTGGTCCATGGGCGCCTGGCATCGAGGCGTCGGAAGAACGGCAGTGTCAGTAGGTGACGTTGCCATGTCGTGGTTCGGATCGTGATGGAGTGGACTTGTTATACACGATTCCATGTTTCAACCCTCCGACGGACGGATGGCTCACGCTGCACGCACACGACGGTCGGCAGTGTGACAAGAACGCTGTTGGTCAAGTTGCTTCTGATGTTTCGTTGACTCTTGGTCACCGGGCTCATTCAACTCTCCGATCCATGGTTGTAACACTGGGGTGGTGGGAGAAGATAATGATTTTTGTTGTAACCTTGCTGCGGACGCGGACGATGAGTTCGTAGTGAGTGCCTCGTTGAGTCGACGGTCAACCGCATGTTGGTACAAGCTTTTCCCTCTTGCACCACCATCCTATCCTGCCGTTTCGCGTCTCTGGGGCAGAGCCAATCCAACCCCTGGCCTGGCACAGCCGACCCAACATGTTTAAAAAGGACAGGGTCGCTTGGGGTTTGGGCGAATCGGAGAATTAAAACCCCGTGAACGGCGCGTAGCTCAAAACGTGGATCGGGAATGGCCATCGTCAATGCCATCGATGGAATACACGAAACAGAAACAGTACATGTCTCCTTCAACTCTCAACGCCTAATCACCTACATACACCGAACGCTGGGCGTCAGAATGTGTCACAAATGGGGAGGAGGCTCTTGAGGGAGGCTCTCCATCATCCATCTCAACCGTATCTCCAGGTCGGGCCCGGATGGGACCTCCCAGAAAGCCTTGCCACCGAATGATGGACTGGGAATAACTACCTACCTAACAGTATGTACCGACCGGGCATGGTATCCGTTCGAGCGGGAGCTTGCGACGCTGCTTTGGATCCGCGGCTTGGCGATCTGTCAGCTCACAGATTGTCATCACCGCACGAATCGCACCGCCAACGGCGCCAACGAGGTTATTCAGAACCAACCGCACAGAGCTGGGATGATTCTCCAACACAGCGAGAACACGAGTGGAGGATGTACTCGGTGTGCATCCGAACGATCAGGCGTGGGGCTGCATGTTGGTTGGGACCGGGGTCACGGCAGTGCGACGGCTCCAAAGTTTTCGGGCCCCAAGGATTTTTACAACGTCGAGCGAAACGGGAAATTGGAACTTCGCCTGCCAAAAAACACCGCTCCAAGTCCGAGCTGCGCTGTTTTCCCTTGTCAAGTCAGCAATTGCCCATTCAGTGGATGAGGTTGAGCTTTTTTTTTTCCTTTTTCTTTTTTTTTTTTCTTTCACCAAGTCGAAAGAGGATCCTTGCCCAGTGCTCCACACAGTCACCTGGTTACCAGCCATCAAGGTGTCGATCCTTATGTCCATAACTACGAAGTAGCATGTGTTGGTTCGCCGGCGCTCAGGGCTGGAGCAACAGCATTCGGAGGGTTGTCACACAAAGCGGGCCGAACCGCTCTGTCGGGTCCATTTCAAAATCTTGATTGGATAGCTACATGGGTACCGAGTTAAAACAAGCCAAGCCCCCCAGCGCTTTCATTAGTTACCTGTATGTGAAGCCACCGCGCCGCAACGCCAGGCACTCACCACAGCCTGTCACAATCTGCCCAAGTACCTTCCAGGGTTCTTAGGAAACTGGAGAACCTGGAACTCTGCCTTCCAAGTCCCCAACGCTCTATACGTCCATTCCCCCGTACGGAAATCTGCGCGTTTACTGCTACCTCACTACGGCTTAGTGCCGCGCTCCGGTCACTGGCCGGATCGACCTTTATTTCGGAGTGCCGAGGTGTTGGATATCATGTCCAAGATGATAAGATATCTTAACAACGAGACCGAGTTGGCGCTAGTAGCCGACGGACAGCTTGGCAACAGAACTTGTTGGGCGCTTGCTGCCGTGGACCACTCCCATGCAGGTTGTCTTGACCATCACGGCAACGCACGGTAACGTTATTAACTATTTTTGGTCTGGCCATCGCTTCATGGACTTACATAGCGGGCCTGGCAGTGTTGGTGCGGCGGCAGGTGGCCATGCCGGGCCAACTGAATCAGAATTTGTGCCCCCGGCGCTTCGTGCCAGGCACGCTACACAATCCCCGGCGAGGTCCCGAGAACACCGAGTTGGATGGTACCTTCCTTCTTGGTACTTTGGCGATGGACATGTTTAGCAAAGGCTTCACAGCATGCCCAACGGCTCCATGTCATGATCTGCTTTCGCTGAAATCCGCGCGCAGTGAAGCGGCGCGGTCGTCTTTGCTGGCCGTCAGGCCTGAGTTTCGGTGTATAAGAACCCATGGCTCCCCAGAGTGCTCTCAACCTTCTCTCACCATCTCATCATCACCTTCACCAGCATTGATCTTTTAGATCTCGCCACTCTTCCCTCACCTTAAGCTCCTATCGTTCTCAGACTCCCACAAACCGCCATCATGCGCGCCGCATTCGCCTCCGTTCTTGCTGTCTTCGTGGCACAAACCGTAAGCTCCTCCGAGAAGAATACACACGTGAGAGCCTTATTGGTTGGCTTTGCTATGTCGTAGGCCGCCATGGCGGTGGACATCGTTGATCCCATCTCCAAATATACCATCGAGACGCCGGTGTGGGAGATCGAGGTTGCTCCCGGCAAGACTGAGGTCCTGAATGGCACCGTTCAGGAAATCTACTCCCGGGCGCTCGCCATCAACCCCAACTTCCAACAGGTTCCTACCGCTAGATCCATCCAGGAACTGGAGACGAGCCTGGTTGAGAAGCGCGCCACGACTGTCAAGTGTGGAAACTGGCCGTCTGCCGAGAGACGCCGCATCCACGAGGGCATTGCCTAACTCAGAACCCTCACTGCCGCGCCCCGCATGCCGCCGGGTCCTGGAGCCTGCTTCCGCGTCAGCTGCTCTTACGGCGCTGCCATCTACTGGTGCAACGATGTAAGTTCTCATGTCATTTCCCATTCCCCCAAGCCATGTGGTTTTCTCTTTCTATATGCTCCCACCCCCTCGTGGTGCTCGCCTTTCGCTAACCACCCTCGGTTTGCTCTCTCGCAGAACAAGACGTGGAAGAACCTGGATAACTGGGACATGATTGCCAACAGCGCTGGATTCATCATCATCTCGTGTGCCCCCGAAGCTAGCTACGTTTCGGGCCAGAACTTCGAGTCAGGCAACTGGAACACGATTGTGCGTGGTGACAGCTGCTAAACTGCCTTTGCCGGCTTAGCTCGTTCAGGTCAGCGTTGTGCGGGTGTGCTGTGGGACATAAAAAGTCTTTCATTTTGTTAGGAGGATAAATTCTCTCCTAGTTCGTGAAGGTGGAGGAGGGGCAGTATCTTGAGTTTAACACTCCTAGTTCTGGGCACTCTAGCCACAATACATGTAAATTTGTGCGCTTCACACCTGTCCCATCCGAGGAGTTGTTGTGCCTATTAAAGCTTGCGTTGATCTAGAACTTATCCTTGTCTGAGCTGCTGAAGTCGGCTAGCATGCACACGAGCCTGGTTTCGGATTAGCCCTCTTAGGTAGCCGGTGTTTGAATATAAAGCCACGGGGTTATTTGCCGAGCGTTTCCAACCCCCCTCTGCAGAGGTCAGCACAGAGTTGTCAGCGTAGGTTGGGTTGGATAGGAGCCGAATCCGTCCGGACTCGAGTCGGCACAGAACAAATATCGCCGAAGGACTTAGCAGCAACAACAGGTGCGAAGAATATAGCATGGCGATTATCAACAGTGGTAAGAATAGGCATCCCAAGTAAGTAATCAACAGCTTAAGCTTTGAAGAATTGGTACCTAGGTATTCACCAGACCCAAGATACCCTGGAGGCAATAGCCCGCAACGGTTAGACCCAAACCCGTTAGCAAACAAAGTCCTCGGCCATGAGTGTTGTCAGTCGCAAGTTTTGAATACTCGTAGTAATCACATGTATGGATAAGCCACCTAACCTGACTGTGAGCAAGCGCACGGGGTGAATGCACGGGGAGCTGTGTACGTGACTGAGATTTACACGAGCATTAGAACTGCCACCACCTTCTCGAACTGCACTGTTTTAGGTCGTCTAGTTCGTTCGTGAACTCTTTTGTTGCCGCTCGCTCAGGCTGTCTCCTGCTGCGTCCAAAACCTTGAGGTGTTGCTTCTTCAGCGCTTCGAATCCTGCGTCCAATCATTTGTGCTAGGGGTATAAAACAAGAACCTGGAAGCCCAGTGCGGAACTGGCCACCAGGAAATTGGTCAAGGAAATGGCACGCGTATATTTCATGGTGTAATGGGTGCTGGAGCAAAAATCAAAGGTCGCGGGTGTCACAGTTGTAGCAAATATTATATTATTCATACTCCGCTATGCCCTAGGGCGTGCCGGACCCTCAGCTATTTAGTGTACAGGAAAACCGTGCCCTCCCGGGCCGGGTGAAGAACCCATACCAACAATCAAGGAACGATGCGTTCTGGTGAGTCTGCGTATACAAAGAGAGGAGGCCTCCTGGCCTCCGAACGGGGGCGCTTCAGGCCGCCGCTTCCAGCTCGAGCCTCCTGGCCAAGTTGTACATCGGCAGTTTCGCCGAGTCCATCAGCCAGTCGAGGACTCTCCTGGCGAGCCGTGCAGTCGTGGGATTGATGCCGTGTAGAACAGAGTAAAAGTCCCGTCGTGTCCGAATTCCAGTTCTCTCCCATCTTCGAGTCAACGGTGGGGCCAAACACCACACTACCAGGTGTTCGGCAGTCTCTCGTCCCTCGCCACACTCGCAGGCAGGAGTCAGAACCTCCGGGACTCCCCGTGTAAACAAGAAGTCCCGTAAGCCTATTGCTCCCGTCCGGATTTGAATCAGCAGTGAGCTCTTCGCCTTGCTGAGACCGTCGTGCCTCCTTAGGGTTCCGTTCCGGAATAGCGTCTCCTGCTGATGGTCAAAGTCGTCCGCCGGCCTGGTGATTGCCCTGCCGTCCCGTTCCTTTAACGACCTCGCTTTTCAAGCCTCTTCTACTACCCTGTTCGTATCAACGATTCCCCCCATCCAGCGCATGACCGTGCCCGCGGCTCTCTCCACCGCCATAGGCCCTTGAGGTCCCAAGGTTCGCGGTCGGCCCCTGTTGCCCCTCCTCGAGCTAAGTCTCTGCTGTATCTTGCGGCAGGCGGTGAGGACAACGCTCGCCGCCGTCTTCTTGCCGCCTTGACCGTCGTCCAGATCGGGTCGTTGGAGTCGGTTTTCGTAATCTGCAAGCCGTTTGTTTAGGTACAAGTCCAATGGTGGTACCCATGTCTCTGTCTCGAGGTTACGGATGGGGGTAGACTTAAAGGCTCCCGCCACAATCCGCAAGCTCTTATTCTGGGCCTTCCCGAGGGCCTTAGTGATGCCTTTCTTTACCGGCTCGCCTCCCACATCCGTGGGGATGTGAAACGATGATGCGCCATAGGCCAGCGCCGACCGGATGCACTTTGTGTACACTTCTCGCGCTTTGGCTAGCCCCATTCCCCACGTCTTTGCCACGATCCTCGACAGGGCATAGCTCTGGGTCCTCGGCTTCTTCTCCACCGCCACCAGGTGAGCCTTCCAGTTGAGTTTCCAGTCCAACCAGACTCCCAGGAACCCGGCAGACCCTTCTGGTTTAACGGGGCTAGTGCCTCCCCCTGGGTTGGCAAGGTTTACCTGTTCGGTCCACTGCCGTCGCCCTTTGTTGAAATGGCTGAGTTCGCTCTTTTAAGTTATAATAATAAGTAAAGTACGCGATTACTTACTATTTCACTATGTATGCGATAAATTCAAATAATTGGTAGGCAAAGTATGTGTGAGAGAAGTAGTTGGAGGAGGGAAAAGGAAGTAAAGTGGTAAGAATGAGAATGAAGGGAAGAGGTAAGAAGGAAAAGGAGGAAGGAGGGTAGGAAGGAAGGGGAGGAAGGAGGTTAGGATTATAATGGTGATGGTGCGTAACGAAAAACTGGGAGTGTAAAATTTAGAGAAGATGTGGTCGATAGATATTTGAGTGTATGTTCCTTCCTGTGCTAGTTTGGAGTCCGGGTGTTGTTCATGGGTTTTGAGTCTGGGGCTCTTAGTGCAAGTGTAATGTGAAAAAGTAAGGAATATTGTTTGTTGCTATTCGGGCTGTTAGACTGGGGCAATGGTTAAGATACTCCTGTTGGTTCTGTTCCAGGTTGCTGTTGGCGATGGAGTAGGAACACTTGGTAACTGTGAAAACATTGGAGTTATCCGTCACGTGAAACGTATATGAAAAGATATTTAAGTGGAGGTCGAAGGTGAGATTGGATTTTATTTAGAGCCTCTAATCCTATGGGTTCCGCGAGCACAGTGATGTTTGAATGTCTGTATATGGTTCGAGGTATGGTGACAGGTGTGTCCGAGTTCGCCCATTTTTCACACTCAAATTAACTCGGTATCTTTTGCAGGCAGGTTCCGTTAGACAGGTCTGGACCAAATATTTTCACACTTAAAATAGGAACATACTCTTACATCATTTTTGAACGTCTTGACCGCTTTTGCCCAAGTCGATGTAATCATTGACAAAACCGAAAACCTCGGTAAACAGCTCAAGGCTGTACTTTTGCGTGACCACTTGCCGGATGGACTTCAGCTCTTGGCACGTCGCGTACAGTGGATTCTCCGTACACAATTTCTTGAACGCCTGGTGTGCGCTGTGTTAGCCAGGAGTATTTCTGTTTTCCGTTCCTAACTTACCATGAGGTTGCCTATACAGCGATATCGCCAGTTGGCGCAGTTGCCCTTGATCCTCGACAATGCGTACTCTTGAACATGTGCCGCATCTGTACCAGTGATGTCGCCGAAGTTGTGTTTGACGAGCTCCTCGAGAGCATTGTCCGTCAGGCACAGCAGGTAAGCAACCCGGAATTGATGTTGAAAAGGGACCGAGAGTTCAACAGTCGGAGTTACTCGACAATCTCCCCGCCGATGCACTAGGAGAGACAGAAGATGCCGGGTTCGAGGATGACCTGGATGATCATGCGGAGGCTACCGGCACTGTAGCTACTGCGCCTGCCGGCGTACACCCCGGAGCGTTTGCGGACCACGAGCCAGATGATCCCTCAGAACCGGAGCACTATACCCCCAAACCGTTCACCATGTCGCCATTTATTTTTGCACTTTCACTCTAGGAGAAGAAGCTCGCGATTAGTTTGTTGAGCTCATCTACGATAAAAAAATATACCGTGGTTTTGCGCATATTGTTGATGGTCCGGGTCCTCGAATCTCGGAATGGGGAGGAGTCGGGCTGGGGAGACATTTTCGTCCACCCGTCTGAGGCACGCAGAACAACTAACCCCGCAGATGGCAGGGGTATGCAATTTCCCTGGTACATACATCTGATTTTAGAGTAGTATACTTTGTTAGGAGCGTACGGAATTGTACGATAAAGATAATAACAAATAGTGGCGAATGCGCGCGCCGTAGGACGATAGAAGTTGAAGGGATGAGGAAAGGTGTTGCGAGAGATTGAAAGAATCATTGGTCTGGCGAGGATGACGGAGCCGCCCTGGGTGGGCGACGGGCTCCTACCAAAAATAACAATGGGTTTCCGAAGGAAAGGTACCGTTCTGGCGAGTTGCCTCCTTGATGCTTCGCGTCTATATCTGCGTTATTCGACGGCCCTATCGATCCAATGCCCAGTGGAGGCACTAACCAGGTTATGCCGTTGGCTTGAACGTTTACACTCCTCCCGGACGATGGTTTGCCTTAGGGCGGAACATCTCGTCTAGTGCGAAACTGCCGGATAGGTGATGTGAAGATGACGTTGATGGCGGAGCTGAAGTGATAATATCGAAGAGAAGGAATTCAGTGATTGAAGAACATAAGTTAACTTGCAGAGCCGGCGGACGAGCCCGGCCCGCTCGTCGCCGTCCCATCAATACCTACCCGGTATGATAGTTTTAGACAGCCGCTTAGGAATTGGACCACAGTTCAGGACAAAAGGAATCGAGTGCTTGATTGAGTCTGCTCTCTATTTTACAATGGGTTTTGACGAGTGAATCTTCTCTTTTCACGCGCCCCTCTACTCGATCCAGCGCACGAAAGACGTAACCCCTGCTGTAGAAACACACGGACGTTGCGGTATAGACATCCCCCCTCATCCTTCACCAACCCCCCCGTAGACCATCCTGGGAACGTTTGGTATTACGTCTAGATTAACCCAGAAAGCTCTTGATGAAGGCCGGGACGATCTCCTTCAACCGGGCCTCGAGTTCCTTGCTGATGGCACCCTCCTTGTCGATCGTGGCCAGGACGTCGGCCTCGTTGGTCTTGAGGTGGGCAAGGAAGTCAGCCTCCCACTGGAGGATCTTGTCGACGGGGACGGAGTCGAGGTAACCGTTGACACCGGCAAAGATGATGGGAACCATCTCGTTGACGGCGTACGGAGAGTACTGCTTCTGCTTGAGGAGCTCGGTCAACTGCAGGCGATAGCGTTAGCACCATCACGTTGTAGTATCAGGAGTTAGGGGCGGTCAAACTTACCCGCTCACCACGGGCGAGGGTCTGCTTGGTGGCGGCATCAAGATCAGAGCCGAACTGAGCGAAAGCAGCGACCTCACGGTACTGGGCCAAGAAGAGCTTCACGGAACCGGCGACTTGCTTCATGGCCTTGAGCTGGGCGGCGGAACCGACACGAGAGACGGACAGACCGACGTTGATGGGCCGGGCGGATACCCTTGTAGAAGAGCTCAGCCTCCAAGAAGATCTGACATCAGTGATGCAATGACGTTGGTGGGAATGTAGGCAGACACGTCACCACCCTGGGTCTCAATGATGGG